TGCGACTTGCGTTTAATGTAGAACGGCCTTTGAGTTCCACTTTTGTGGAAATACGGCTAAAACCAGCGGCTGAAACCGTCGTAAAAAATTACAATAGGATGGCCGCTCTCAGATTTCTCTCTGCTGCTAGTATCTCTGTTTTTGTCTCGTCGTCGCTGATTGGTTGAATTTATACGAGTGCAGTCCAAGACAAAAGAACAACGAAAAGTAAAGAATGACTGCTTATTAGCAATTGCTGAGCGCTGATTCCTGCTGAACGCAGTCATTCTTTACTTTTCGTTGTTCTTTTGTCTTGGACTGTACTCGTATAAATTCAACCAATCAGCAACGACGAGACAAAGACAGAGATCCTAGTTGTGATGCTCTCTATCGCGGACAGCTCGACAATGGCTGCTTTCCTTTTAGGAGACACAGTCGACACAAGTCGACACAAAAGTCATTCTGTCTTCGTTCAGTATTTAGTGAGAAACAAAGACAGAATGACTCTTGTGTCGACTTGTGTCGACTGTGTCTCCTAAAAGGAAAGCAGTCAATGGAAGGCGCGTTCCATATTATAGTTCAGTGATGATGACGGTTCTCGCTTGTGTGCGTATCCTCACCACGTCTGTGTTCTCATAGCACGGAATAGAATCATGTCCACAAACTTAGCACGGAATAGAACCATGTTCACGAAAAGCTATCGCAGAAACTCTTATGGCCATGGCCGCTCTCAGGCTTCTCTCTCATGATATGACATATCATGTAGACCGGCCCAGTGGTCTCGCGGCCTGAGTGCAGGGACTGCGAACCTGGAGGTCCTGAGTTCGAATCCGCTCACCAATCTAAGGATTTTTTTCGGGCCAGTCTCTTTCAACCGAGTTTATCGGTTGATCGGCGAACTAAATCGGGCCTCCAAAAATTAATTCGGGTGTGTAATCCCGAATAGCAAAGAAGATGACGTATTATGTAATATATACGTATATTTATATGTATACATAAATTTATGAAATATATGTATAATTTAGTACGCATATATGTATAATCGGTCTCTCGGCTATTTCTATTTTCATCTAACAGAATGTATATCAGTAATGGTTGATTAATTGCGAGGTGATGTGTTAATTTCCGAATATCATCGATATACTTTATTTTCACTAGAACGTCATAAAATAAAAAAATTACAATATGTATAAAACGAAAATGCAAAACCTAAATTTTTTGTCATGTGTGATTAAAATATTAAGTTTTTTACTGTTTTTTTTCACAAAATCTGCTCCGTAGTGTTCGACTTGAAAACACGTATTATATCGAACTTGACACAATTAAATGACACAATTAAAAGAAAAAATCGCTCGGAGATCAAGTTTCATGACATAAAACTGTAATTGTCCGACATGATGAGAGAACAGTTGGACTTCGGTAGTGACTGTTTAGGCACAAGACGAAATCACGAAATTAGAGTTAGGTATTACAATATATGTTATGCAGTTAAATAACATACAAAACTCAATGCAGTTAAATAACATACAAAACTTAGTTACTGAAATACATTTCGATGTACTTAAAGAGCCGTCTACAATGGAGAGTTGTAGGCCGTAACAGTAAGAAATTGACAAATCACAATCGATTATTCTTCTGTACTTTGTCAGTGATTGGTCAATTTCTTACTATTACGGCCTACAACTCTCCATTGTAGACGGCTCTTTACGACTTACGGCTTACGACTGTATTGTAGAACAGGCCTTGCTTTCAATAGACACTACGACATTTTATTCGTTTCTTGTTGAATCAAGAAAAGATTGTCTGATATATTTAATAACTGTGCTTTATTCTTCTAATTAAGAGTAGGTATGTACGAAATTATTCTTTTATAAGAGCAGCGATTTTAGGCGTTTATATATTTTGCTATCGACGCTATTATTTAACAAGACCTAACCTTTCCATACCTGGTGGTGTCTATATAAGATACTCTAAAATCAATTTTAAAACAAAATCGTCAATTGTGATTACTTATAAATAACACATAGTGTTCTGTTTGGATTAAATAAAAGAAACAATTAAGAAGTTTTAATCATCTATTACAAAACTTAAAGCTTATGTGTAATGCAAGATTAATATGCAGTATAAATGTTTTTATAGGTAGAAATTGTTTCTATATCAGTAATTGATATAGAAGTATCAAGAAATTAATATTTACTATTGCGATTAGTACATTTCTATAAAAAAAATGGCACACTACAAAGGAGCAGCCAGTGAAGCTGGCCGTGCTATGCAGTTGATGAAAAAAAGAGAAATTGCTCAACAAGAAATAGAACTACGAAAAAAGAAAATTGAAGATGACTTGAAGATACATAATATAGAGAATAAGTTTGCAACTCATTATAATGCTGTTGAGCAGCAATTAAAAACTTCTACTATTGGTTTAGTTACATTGAATGAAATGAAGGCAAAGCAAGAAAATATTGTGAAAGAGCGTGAAAGAAAACTTGCTCAAAAAGAACGAGAAAAAGAACAAGAGAAGGAGAGGGCACTGGCAGCAAAACAAGCAGAAAAGAATAAACAGAAAAGACAAATTCAGGCCTTATCTTTTAATTTAGATGAAGATGAAGATGAAGATGAAGATGAAAATGAAAATGAAAATGAAAGTGAAAATGAAAATGAAAATGATAATGAAGATGTAGATGAAGAGATTTCTTATAGCGGAGAAAAATTTGTGAAAGCACAAGATGTGCATTCCAGTGAACCTGTGATCAAAAAGATCAAGAAAAATCCTGATGTAGATACAAGTTTTCTGCCAGATAGAGAAAGAGAAGAAGAAGAAAATAAACTTAGAGAAGAATTAAGACAAGAATGGGCTAGAAAGCAGAATGCACTAAAGGAAGAAGAAATTGAAATCACATTTAGTTACTGGGATGGATCTGGTCATCGTCGCAGTGTTATAATGAAAAAAGGTAAAGTTCAGTATAGAAGACACATGTGTATTATATAATATAAACTATTATAAAGTCATATTATTTTAGTGTTGAAATGCATAATATATTTTTGTGATTTATATATTCTTGGAAATTTTTTTACAAGATTTAAATTAACTTTTTAGTTTTTAATTTATATGTACTATGATATGAGATCTACAGTGTGAATTTTATACCTTGTCTTTTTTTCTCAATGCAGGTAATTCAATTTATCAACTTCTTCAAAGATGTTTGGAAGTTTTAAGGCGCGAATTTAGCGAACTTAAAACAGTAATGGCAGATCAGTTAATGTATGTTAAGGAAGATCTTATACTGCCACATCATTATACGTTCTATGATTTCATTGTCACTAAGGTAAGGAGAGATACAATCACATATGTTCACAAAATAACAAATGTTTACTTTATTATTTGTGATAAAACACTAATATTTTTTAAGTAACCATTTTAGGCACGAGGAAAGAGCGGGCCCTTATTCACATTTGATGTTCATGATGATATCCGAGTTATGCATGACGCCTCTGTTGAAACCGAAGAATCACATGCTGGAAAAGTTTTACTTAGGTATGTTCGTTACTTAAGAGATCTGGATGTATGTACACAATAGTTAATTTTTGTGAATCATCTTTTTTCAACTTTTTGTTTCATACTTTTAGGTCATGGTATGAGAGGAACAAACATATCTTTCCAGCGAGTAGATGGGAACCTTTTGATCCAACAAAAAGTTATGATAGATATACGGTATCAGATAAAAACAAAAAAAAAGATAAAATGTGATCAGCAGTTTTCTAAAATAATGTTATGTTTTTTCTTAATGTAGGATAGAAATATGACACTTGTTTATATCGTACAGTAATAGTTACGAAAATGACCAAAAATAAGTTTGTCTACGAAGTTGATCCATCGTGATCGTCTACGCTTGGCAACGCTAACTTGTTTGACATTTTGTTTTGACTCTAGTCTATTGATTCATTGATCTTCATGTTTTTATATTTCCTTTATCTTCATACCAATTATAAGTCAACCTCGCGACTATTACTGTAGGTGTATTTAAAATCTAAGGATATCTAACAAATACTTCAAAATATCAATTTTGTAATTGTATTAGTGGATATCTTTGTTTCATTATGACTGATTTTTTATAGTAACGTAATATACATATGTATATGTATCAAGTCTACCGGAAAGTTCTGTCCGTTTCTATTACAACAAGTTTCGACACGTAAGCACATGTTTATTTGGCGCATGTGTGCCTCTCTATTTTCATCACTTAATGTATACATACTGACGTAGCAAATTAACTAAAACAAAGTTGATTCACGTTAGTCTTATGTGTGAAGCGATAGTGTACCCATGGCTACTGATAAAGTTCATTTACGCCACTGTATTTTATACGAATTTCAACAAGGAAGAAATGCTACAGAAGCATGTAGAAATTTATTGAAAGTGTTTGGTGAAGGTACAGTTTCTGATAGGACATGCAGAAGATGGTTCGAAACAGGTGATTTCGACCTTAGATAAAACATTCGAAACAGGTAATTTCGATCTTAGATAAAACATTTTTCAAAAATGGGATATACAAATTGCCTTCACGCTGGCAAGAAATCATTAATATAATAATGGCAATTATATTATTTAATAAAGTTTATTGACGGTAAGAAAACTTTGTATTTTGTTTTATTCCAAAAACGGACAGAACTTTTCGGTAGACCTAATATATAGTTAAAGTATTGTATCTTGTGTAAATAACATTATTTTTTGTAATTATGTACATTTTTATTGTGCGTGTCTTTATTTCACAATGTATAATAGATAACTTATAAGTGTACAAAATAAAAACCAAAAATGAGTTTGGATATTTTTAATGATTTACATGATCGAAAGCACAATAGTATTATAAGTGATATAAAATATCAAAAATATTTTAAATCACTTGAAAAAAGTATTTCAGACGTTCATTTATGACAAAAGAATTTTATATACATATATACAGGGTGTCCGGAAAATCGCTGCCAATACTTCGGGAAGTGATTGGGGAATGGGGATCCACAAAAAGAAGGAAAAAAAAGTATATAAACATAGGTCCGGAAATAAAGTCATTTCCGAGTTATAGCCACTTATGTTTAAAAATCGTAATTTTTTTATAATCAATTTATTATATTGTGTTTTAATATAAATAACTGTTGTATTTTAATATAAATAACTTCATTTCGGACTATTTTAATAGAAGAATAAGGACCTGCATTCGTGCTGAAGGTGGTCATTTTGAACATAAACAGGTATTTAAGGTTGTATTCAGGGTAAGATATCAGTCAAAAGTTTAAGAAACATAGCGTAAACCGAACCTATTTTAATATTTAGATAATGATTGTTTGTTAGAAAAGTATTATTTGCACTAAAATAAGTAAAAAAAACTATTTATTATACTTTTAATAACTACGGAAAAGTTTTTCCGTATATATTTTGTGTGTGTGTGTGTGTGTGCCATTTTAATGTTCACTTTTGATACTTTTGAGTAGGATTATACTTTACTTGCAACGTAAGATAAATGAAAAACTGGAAATATATTAATCATAAAAGTTTGTTAAAACGTAACAATTGATGTATAAAATTACAAATATAATTTGTAAATAATAATTGTTATAATAAATAATTGTTTTATGTATATTAAATATATTTTTTTATTAATTTTAGCAAAATATAAATTTATATTTTATGGGATATTCTCGACTATTTTTTCAAGTGGAATTTATTTTTAAGATATTTATTAACAACTGCAAAAAGTTTCAAACTTACGGCATATCTACATCTACAATTATTTTTTAATTTATATTCGAATATCGTAAAATCCCATAAGAACTCGTGTTACATTAAAATCGTGCTAACTTTTTAACAAGGCTCGCAAAGGAGCTGAAATTTTGAACAATTGTTTTTTTAATATTATCCACTGACTGGCAAAATTTGAATAATCTGGCATATCTTTTATCTTACCCTGAATACAACCTTAAATCAAATTAGATATGATGTTCAAAATAACCACCTTCAGCACGAATGCAGGTTCTTTTTCTTCTATCAAAATACTCCGAAATGAAGTTATTTATGTTAAAACACAACAGTTATTTACGTTAAAACACAATAAAATAAATTATGATTATAAAAAAAATTACGATTTTCAACTTTAAAAGTGGCTATAACTCGGAAATGACTTATTTCCAGACCTATGTTTCTATAACTTTTTTTTCCTTCTTTTTAGATCACCCCAATCACTTCTCGAAGTATTGGCAGCGATTTTCCGGACACCCTGTACAACGTTGAGATCTAACACATCAGACACGTCACTGTGTTTTACATATTTTCTTTAAATATTTTTTTTATATGTAATATTAAAAAGTTTAGATTCCGTTTTGTGTTGAATTGGGAACGAATAAAAATGAATATAATTGAGAAACATGAAAAATATATGGATTGATGTTTTCAAGTACTTTGTACATATTTATCTTTGCACAGCCCAAGGATCTCCAGTTGCAAGAGATGATGTACACAGAATATGAGGCGAGAAGAAAACGAAGACCAAGGACATAGCCAGGACTCCATTATGAAATATAAGCATGTCAGAATTATCATACATATTGGCTGGCCAGATGCCGACACGGAGATATGCTGTCCGGTCCCGAAACGTTCGATTATTTAAACAAACCTGTGCGATACGATCTCAGTCACACCCATTACTTTAACGCGCCCTATGCGAAGACGAAAGGAATTCTCGGCCAGGTGAGAGATCATATGTATCACGACGCGCGCGCGTCTTGATGTAACTCGAGATTATTTATGTATTTTTAATGAAAAATAAAATTACAGGTAAGATTATATATATGTATTTTTATATATAGTTTTTAATAATCTCAAAAGTATCTGATCTAATTTAATTACAAATATTTCACAATTAATCTACAAATATATTTTTCTCCTCTTGCATGTATATTTATATTTTAAAGTTAGGTTTAAGTTTAGGATTAGGTTTATATTGCAAGATTTGTGTGCACTATATCAAATATATTCTCCTCACATAGACATAACGTCTACTGGACGTCCATAACTCTATGTGACGTCTAATGAACATCTAATGGAAGTTTGTATAAAATATTGTTCCACACAGTGGATATATGTCACGAAATAGGTCAAATTTTATGAAAAAGAATATATACAATTCGCTACACGGTTAACAAATGTGTGATATTTAAACTTTCAAAAACCACATCTGTCACATTTAAAAGAACAACACATTTATTATTACACTTTACTCCCTCTAACAGAAACTGTCCACCTGTAAAATTTCTTTTTTTAACTCCAAACGTATAATTTCATCCTCATTAAGTTCCCATGAAATTTTATACGTTTTCATGTGTGTGTTTGGTTTGTAACAATGTGCTCGTTCCAGAAACATATCGCCAAAAGCTTCTCACAATTTGGAACGGGGTTTACAATCTTGCTTTGCGGGGTGCACAAATGAAACGATCCCAAGGGTGAACGCGAGCGAACAATTTTCTCTGCGTGTGCACATATCGAAACCAAAATTTGTGTCGTGTGCGCACGAAAATTACGAGGTGGATAACTCTCACATGAATAATAAACGACGCGCTAATGTGCGCGCCCCTTTCGACACCCCTGTTTTCTCTCGATCTTAACTGAGTCGTGTCCGAAAGCGCACGGTAGACACCCGCAATTTACATCACTAATTCATTCGCTTGTTTACGCTTCATCGCTCACATTGATTGTTTATGCTTTATTGTTTCTAGCGAATAGTCACGAGATTTCTTTTCAGAAATGATAATTTAAGAAAACGGATTTCTCATTAAAAGTTGAGACAAACAAGCTCTTACATGATCTTACGAATTACACGCTGTTTGCGCGCGAGTAAAATAAAATTGTTTATTTAAAATTTCACACAAGAATTTTCTAGAATCTCGAAGAATGTTGAAGAATACTTTAGTTAGTTAAAACAGATAGTTAGTTTAGTTTGAGTTAAAACAGATTGACAACGTGCAAACAGAAAAGATAATGCGTATGCGTGCGCAGTACATTATACACTTTGCGGCTTGATATGCAGACGACGTGCACGGCATGGCGGTATGACTCCGCAATAGATCATCGATTACGATACGACTCTCAAAACACAAAATCGACTTAATTTTGTTTCCTTCTCATCTGTAGTACCTATTTGACATTTATATCTATCCAATATTTTAATAATATTTATTAATCGATTAGTTTCTGATGTAATATTGACATTAAAGATTAAAGTAAATTTGTATTTACTGTTCTTCATCATATTTGTTTACTTTGTACGTGTTTACTGTGAACAAATGTAATAAAAAAATTAGGAAAATAAGATTAAACTAATAATAGTAATTATATATGTACTATATTCTAATACTAGGATTATTGTTTTGCAAGAGCGGCTTTATTCAAGACCGCTAAATTATATTATGACGGTAGCCGCGTAATAAAACGGCGAGACTCTAAATAGCAAATGACAAGTTAAATGGCAAAACGAGACGAGATATTTGTCCGTGGATCAAAGCGCGGTATCGAGTGGGCGTATATCGCCCGTGAGGGTCAAGCAGTCGATCTCTCCGTTTTGCCGCTTAACGAGGATCGCCTTCTCTTTAAATAAGACTCGATGACCGGGCGAAAATCGAAAGCGCGGTCGCGATGACACCGTAAGAAACTTACGAGTTTGAACGCGAGTCGATCTCCTTTGCCGGCCCGTTCGAATTTAAACCGCCGATAAATCAGTTTCGCTAATAGATTGTGGCGTGTGCCAAGTAAAAACGCAATTCATTATGAAACTGCAACTGATACATGTTAAGTAAAAAAAAATCATTTGTCTTCGACTAATAAATTGTTATCAAAATTTTTAAAAGTTCTTTATTGTACATTGTGAAACATTATTGCAATTTTATATTACGAATCTTAATTTCTAGAAATAATTAGGCAGGTTTTACTTTTAACACTTTTATTTTCATATCGCAAAAATATGTTAAATTTTTTTTTTCTCTGCGTCAACAACATGATGCTGACTGAAATCGGCGTTGTGACTCAAACTCACGCCAACGGGTATGTTGTCGTCACCGATGCACTGGCAATGTGCAAAAAGTCGACCCAGTTGGGGGTGGCTTTTCCAGCCATTTCGCCCCAACGTTCTCGGTACAACTGCCGCCGGCGATCGACCAGATAGACCAAACGTAGGACTTTTGCTCCGTCTCCGCCTCGCAAGATCTTCTTTTTCGCGTTTCTCTCTTTCTCGCCCCGATCGACGAAAGAGGAAACTTCCTGCGGGTCGATCTTTCGGGTGCGGCGAGGCAATAAAAAACAGTCCAGTCAGCGGGGCGTGGATCGCCAAGAACGGCCACGTCTCGTTCATCGAGTCGGCGATCGCCTCACGTCCCCATTGCGACGCTCGTTTCTTTATTTATTCCTCGCGTTCTCAGTTTATCGATACGACTCGTCATTGGTATTTGTATCAGCAAGTTTGCCACTCGTCGAGTTGTCGTGCGTGACACGCGATTTATGATCTCCATCTCTTATTTAAATTAGAGATTTTAATAAATTCACGTGTG